TTCATCTTCCTTCTGTAGATTGAGACAAATACCAAACAGTACTTGTCGAGTTATTCAAACTATCTCCTGGTCCTCACACTACACCCCCCTACGTTACACACCATCATGTACACCAGTCAAAGTATTGCCTCTCAACTCCAAATCACCTTCCTTTCCTCTCCTTTGTGCTACAGGAGATGGACCTGTAAACATCGCTCCTTTGCCAGCTCACACGGTGTCAGGCTTTGTCAATAGAGAGTGCTGGAGGGAAGCTCTAATGCCCTATCAAGAGAAGGGAGCTTTCCGTTCTTCTCTTTCTGGTCAGACGCACTGTCGTTCTTTGGCATACCTTCTAACGACTGGCACGCTGTGAGTTTCCAGCCACCAGGCAGAATATTTCTACCAACCAGCCTCAGCATATACCCCGCATGCTTCTTCACCACCAGCAGCTGCGTGGTCCTGTGGCAGCAGCATGGTCCTGTGGCAGCAGCATGGTCCTGTGGCAGCAGCATCCTTTCCCATGAGGGCTGAGTTCACCGGCCTTGAGGGGGAAGGATGCTCTTCCGAGTCCTCAGTTTCTGTCTGGTCTATGACATTGCACTCCGAGAAGCAGATGCTCTGTCTGCATTTGCAAATTCTATATTGCTTGGAATCTTCTTTTACCTTTTTGAATTATTATTTAACCACCTTTTACTAGTCAATAATTCTTTTTTTTTTTTTTTTGAGACAGAGTTTCACTCTGTTGCCTGGGCTAGAGTGCCCTGGCGTCGGCCTAGCTCACAGCAACCTCAGACTCCTGGGCTCAAGCGATCCCCCTGCCTCAGCCTTCCAAGTAGCTGGGACTACTCTGGCGCACGCCACCATGCCCGGCTATTTTTTCTATTTATTTTTTTAGTTGTCCAGCTAATTTCTTTCTATTTTTGGTAGAGACGGGGGTCTCACTCTTGCTCAGGCTGGTCTTGAACTGCTGACCTTGAGTGATCTTCCCGCCTTGGCCTCCCAGAATGCTACGATTACAGGCGTGAGCCACCGCACCCGGCCAATAATTCTTTATATTAGATTTTCCCTGTTCAAATTATTGTTAGGGGTTCTATCCTCTAAGTAGACTCTGATGATACGGTATGTTCCCACGTGGTGGTTTTGTGATTAATTAGACTTCCTCCAAAACCACCATGGGTAAGACTGAGTACAGGAGATGATCAAAGATGGGAATAAAGCAGGAAATCTGATATGATCAAAGAAATCACTGGGAATTTTTTAGGTTGGGTGCACTAAGGGAAATGTATCATTAGGCAAAATGTCTAGGGCCTTCAAGCCTTTTAATAGCTTATGAAGATGTTGGATATGTATTTCATTTTTGAGAATATGTCTATATTTGGGGAGTCCACTTGCTCAAAGCTTCTTGGGTGTGGCTATGGGTCATGGTCCTCAAATTTGGCTCAGAATAAGCCTCTTTAAATTATTTAAAAAAAAAGAATATATCTATATATGGATGTGTACACACAAGAACTCTGAAACATAAGAAGAAAACTAAAAAATCAAAATGAGTGTTTTTTTATTTAAATGTTGTCAACTGCAATTCCACTCAATTCAACCTATACATAGTTGGGAATGTGAGTGCATTTTAATGTTTATTATAACTTATGTAGGGTTCCCTAAAATAAGAAAGTGTATCTTGAGCTTGCTAATTTTTTTTTTAAGTTTTTGGGTTCAATTCACTGATGATACCAAAGTGTTTTTAGTTCAATTCAGATATGAAGGAGTTCATTTAAATTTGTTCTATTGCTAATGACTGCATGCCAAACACCAGC